CCACAGAGTGAATGTGTTGTTTCCTGGCAGAAAATCTAAGTCCATTTAAAAGTAAAATACGGAAAAAATGGATTAATTTTTTTACAAAATGTCCTTCTAGATACTAGCTTTTGATCATAAACAAGCTTCTGTCCAAGTTTGGTACAAATCCAGGATAGTTTAAGAAAGTTATTAAAATTTTAAAAACTTTAACCACAGAGTGAATGTGTTGTTTCCTGACAGAAAATCTAAGTCCATTTAAAAGTAAAATAAGGAAAAAATGGATTTATTTTTTTACAAAATTTACTTCTGGATACTATCTTATGATCATAAACAAGCTTCTGTCCAAGTTTGGTACAAACCCAGGATAGTTTAAGAAAGTTATTAAAATTTTAAAAACTTTAACCACAGAGTGAATGTAATATTTCCCGGCAGAAAAACTAAGTCCATTTATAAGTAAAATACGGAAAAAATGGAATTTTATTTTTACAAAATTTACTTCTGGATACTATCTTATGATCATAAACAAGCTTCTATCCAAGTTTGGTAGAAATCAAGGATAGTTTAAGAAAGTTATTAAAATTTCAAAAACTTTAACCACAGAGTGAATATTTGTGGACGCCGCCGACGACAACGACGACGACGACGACGACGACGCCGACGGAATGTAGGATCGCTATGTCTCGCTTTTTCGACTAAAGTCGAAGGCTCGACAATAAAAATCAAAGATGATATCAGATCTGACCTCATGCACCAAACAGTTAGTGTCTGAAAATGAAAGTGAATTAGTGATGATAGTGAGGACATACCCAAAATAAAAAGTATGCTCTTCATGGTAGATAATGTGTTTTAGTTGTGAATATGCAATGAGAATTATAAGCCAGAATGGAAATGACAATTCATTGAATATTACAGGGACAATGATATGGCTACTTTTGCTGTTAATAGAAAGTAAATCAGTCTTTGCCAAGTCAGCTGGTATCAGTGATTGTTTTAACTTTAAATTCTATAATGAATTGAATGTGATAATGGGCAACTAAAAAGAAATGTAATGGATACAGTGTAAGCAGTCTTATTGTTTAAAAACAAACAAAGAATGCTAAATTTTGTGTAATTTACATTGAAAAAAAAAAATTTTTTGATGGCTTTTCCTTGTTAAACATTTTTTACAAATTATTCTGTCATCACCTTTTCAACATGTTCAAACCTGACTTGACCAAGCAGTTTTAATTTTGGAGACATTACAATATTTAATCTTGACTAGTATTGGGATTTGTGTTTTTCTTATTTCACAGCCTCCATATCAGGTACCATTGGACCACAATACTGATTAACTTGCATAATTACACACAAATGAATGTTCATGAGTAGCATGTAAAATTTCCAACAAAATTACATTTGCAGCAATGTGCTGATTTCTGTGTAAAATGTCCCCACTTATATTTCATTATAATTATTAAAGTACAAACAAAAGCAGGTTCTAGATATACAAATGTACTCAAGGAAACAGCAACTTAAAAGACAAAAAATACCCAAAACGACATTTAGAGGGCAACATAGAGATTACGACAAAAGACCGATATAAAAATAAGGAGATGTGGTCAGTGCATTCATTAAGACCCGGTACCCGGTACTTTTACCCGACTACGTCAGCGTCTGGTACCGGTAGAAAAAATAAAAATACAAAAACAAAATGTGGAAAATTCTTTTGAAGATCGTTCAAATCTAATTTCTTTCATTCCTTGATAATCTCCATTCTACGCCGTTCATGTGTATATTTATAGGTGTCTTCGTCGAGGTCCGCGTTAAAGTATAGATCTATCTTCTGCCAATTTAGGCACACCTCCAAAGTAGGAGAAGTGATAATTATAAACCATGTGTCTGTATCTGTATCGTAAGAGCGCTTTAAAATGCGACGATTTAGTAGTATATTTTCAAGCGGCAAATTGTTGATGAATTTAAACAACAACAGCAATATTATGTCTAATAAAAGGAAAGCAGCTTGTATCACAGATTATTTTATGAATAAAAGGTTTAATAAAGGTGAACATTCTATGAAATTCAGAAAATCGTTAATCTTATCAAATCAGTTCATCTCCCGTTGGACGTTGTCACTGATCTCTGTTTTCTCGATATGTGTTCTATGTTGTGATTGAATTTTTTAATGTAAGACTTCGTGAAACAATCTGAACTAACATAACTGTTTCATTTACAAAATATAATATCTGACGAGATTTAAGACTTCTAAAATAAAAAAAAAAGACAGCTCTGAAGAAGTGAAAAAAAAAACATTTTTACTTACTATAGTCAAGAATCCTATGATTAATTTGCCACCCCCCCCCCCCCCTTTTTTCACAATCACCCCTTTTTATAAATATCAAAGTTAAGTGAAAGTTGAATACATGTTTTTTTTTCTGACAAGAACAACCATCACAACACTTATCATATATCAAAAACGTTTGTTTGCTGTTTTGCATGAGAGCATGTTTATTGTTCATGTTTAATTGTTTGCATGACACTGTTAAATTACTTACACAAACAATTGACACAGATATGATTATAACAAAGCAATAAAAAAAAGTTACAACAAGTTTTATTATCAATTTTTTTTAATAATATACTATATAACTTATGATATTTCATTCACAAAATTGAACAAATGCAAAACATTTAATAAAAGTATAAAAACAAACAAAACATTTAAACAACATTTCACATGAAACCCCTGCATTATAGGTCATACCATGGAAGTATTATATTGACAATATAATACTTCCATGGTCATACATATTTTATAACTGATTACAAAATATCTATTAGCAATGAATTTTCAGATGATTACTCTAGCATGTCTAGAAAAAAAAACCAATTCAATGTTAACTTACCAAAAATTAAAGCAAATATTTCAGACTTTACCCTATTTTTGTAAGTAAAAAATTAAGGCTGAAATCCCTAAAATCCATGAGCTTCCCGGGGGGCTTTGCCCCCCTGGCCTCCCTACCAGGGCTAGCCTGATAATGAAACCCCTGTGTGGTATGATTGCCTATATACACAATTTGTCAAGCTTAACTGGGATCTTGCAAGTTTCAATTATTGCCTTGATGTGCTGTATTTTTATCGTGCTAAGCTCTTATTTTAGTTGTCATTTTTTATTGTGTAGTTTTCTTAATTTATATATTAAGCAATTAATTGTCTTTAATGAGATTATTTATGGGTAGTACCTTATTCCTTTTTGGTCATTTTCAGAAGCCTTTGTTCAATTATGGAGTAAAATATTTGCTAAGTTTACAAGAAATCATTACTCTTAGACCTTTTACAATGATTTGGATTTATCCTCTTTGCTATTAGTAGTTTCAAATTGGAGAATTTTGATTTTGAATCAAACCGTCTTTTTTTTTCATTTGTATAATAGAGCTCTCCATGAGTGCTTTTAGTACTTTGATTTTCTTTTTCATTATATTTTGCTTTGAATTAAAAAGAAACAGCTGTCGAAATAATAAATCACTTGTTTTGATAATAATTGCACCCTAAATTGTGGATTTGTGTCGAGAAAATGATTCTATTACATGAAAAAATGTATAAAAATACTATTAAAAATAGCCGTACAGTGATATATACTAAATATATTCCTAAATATTTGCTGTGGGTGGATTTTTTATATTTCTTTAATCTATCATAGAAGTTCATGTTGATATATTCATCTTTTAATTACAGCTTCACCTTTTCAATATTTTAGCATTTCTTCTGACCCTAAATTAGGTAAAATAGCCAATTCCTCAAACACCAGTTTTATACATACAGAAGCCCTACTAAAATAAAAAGAAATATATATTTATCATTTTGTCTTTTTATTTCCTTTATAATGCTTTATCACATGAATTGGTCAAAAAAGATATTTATCATGGCTATAACTGATTATTTGTTGGATTAAAATACAAAAAGACCCTTAGCAATTTTCCCGTAAAAAAGGGTGAAAATAGATGGCGCTGCAAAACTCGGCTATCCGATAAAATTCAAGCAAAAAAATTTACAAGTGAATCTGGCATGGCCAAAGTGTTGTTGGCACCAAATTTCACGAGATTCTGTGAGATTCACTCCTGGACACTTTTGCATGGTTTTCTGTGAAACATGGATATCATGACGAATAACGATAAAAAATCTTGCCAAATGACGTTAACGGTAATTTTTGATACATGACGATAAAATGTACATTTCCTTTATGTCGATAAAAAAAAAATCATCTGATTTTGATGAATCAAGTTAAATTCTTTCCAAAAATAACGGTAACGTATAATAATTTGGGACCTCTGACAAATCAGATAAGGATATTTTGAAGAATCACGATAACATATTGACCAATTTGACCCTAACGGTAGCCGAAAATGGCCTTTTTACGCCTGACGGTAAAGGGCATTCATAGTATTACCCTCGTTTATACCTGTTGAAACAAGGATCGGGGATGACGATGGTTCTAACAAATATTGATGTGTTTGTGGTCATCTAACTAAAGGGTCTTAATTCAAAACGAGTACTATAACTGTGTTTTCAACATCTACTCGTCCACGGCAATGAGCTGACTCAACTGCATGTTTGCATCCTGATTTTTTACTTTTTACCTTTTATTTACAAATCGATTTATCATAATACATATGTGTTTTGCAAATTAAAAGTGTCCAGTGTTATACGTGCGTTTAAAAAGATAGGAGCATTATATGCAACAGTTAAGCGTCTAATATGTGAACAAAAAATTTCGAGGAGAAACAATTTTGGAGCGGCATGCGGACCAAAAATTTGCGGAAGCGGTAAATATTTTTTTTATTGAAAAGTCAATTTCTCCAAAACAGGAGAGGGAAAATCCAAAGAAATAGGAATCAAATTGGTGTGGTCTTATCATTATTTATATGATTGTTTTGGTAATGTGATATACCGTATAAAATGACTGATTGCAAGTAAACATGAAAGGTTATAATTCTCATATTAATTCTCTGAAATCCATTACCTAAAATATCGATACCTTAAAGTCTTGTAGATACCTTTACAACCAAATGGAACTGACGGTTTCTGTATGCAAAAGGTTCGTTGCTTTTATAAACTCTATTTTCATGCTAACCTGTCTGAAACTATTAGATTTTGTGTTAGAAGTACAGTGTACTTGATTTGACAGGCTTTGCACGCAACTTTCAGAAACTCCTTCGATTATAATAGAATTGTTTTATTTTTTTTTTATTTTATATATTTTTTTGGATTACCAAAGTAACACAACTGTCATATCTGCAATTATTATTAGACATTTCATATCCGTAACTTATCATAAGTATTAACTAGACTTTTATCAAATCTTTTCTACATAATGCCTTTTTAATCGTTTTAACTGTTTATTTTTGTTTTTGAGCTGAACAATGTTTTAGGGTATACCATAGCAATATATATATATATATATATATATATATATTCATTCATAAACAAGTCTAAATTGAAAACAACGTTCAAACCTATGATTGCGTTGGATAAAAACCGCAATTTTTATACGTGTGCATGCAAAACAAATTTCTTGGTAGAGGGTTCTGAATACAGCACAAACAACATTTTCCAAAAGACCAAAAAAGTGAAAAAGTATATTCTAACAAAACGCATTTGACTAGCAGGTCGAACAACTGATATCCTTAATATTCATTCATACCTATAGAATGGGGAGACTGACTCAAAAAAGGGTCTATCTTTCTATTTTAATCGTTTATGCCTTTTAGGGTATCATTAACTATTTATTTTTCACTTTTCTTTTACATATATACATGGAAAGATCCTTAATCTTAATTATAATTATTTAGATGATGAAGAGTACTTCTCCATTACTTGTGATATTTTGCTGTATATTGGTAACCGTTGTGAAATCTGAAACATGCCTTGGGAGCCACGAAAAATCAATCTTATCTGGTATAAAATCTTCGATAAAGAAATTAGAAGAAAAGTTGGCAGGTAGGATACAAGCTCATGTATATACAGCTTAGCTGACAATACATTAATATATCAAACATGTTACAACTATTAGACTTGGAGCGATTAGGAGCTTGAAATGCTGACATTTAGATGTTATTAACTATTTGTGTCGTTGGTGTGCTGTCTCTGTGGCTAGTATCACATATCTCCTTTTATTCATACTTATAATTTACTCAAGTGTTTTGACGATTATGTACACTACATGAATAAATCTGTGAGTTGACAGAACATAGCTCCGGTGCCACCGATTGTAATTGCATATGTTGATATAAGCACTGTGACGACTTCAAAAAGAAGTTTTTTTTACAGATTTGTATATTTCATTGATTCATAACGAGACGAGACTGTATTTCTTAAAATATTATAGAGGCGATGTCCTCGATGCAAATCTGCCCAAGTGATCTTAATTGTAACAGGCACAAACTTCGTACAATGTAAATGAAGCTGTTATAATGGATCTCAAAAATCTATCAAACGAAAAGACATTTAAATTTCTTATATTACGATAAAAGGTTTTATCGCGCTATCCCTTTTCTATACAAGTGTACAATTTCTAACTGAATTGGTTGAGGAAGATGTAGCCAAAAACGTGAAAATTCTTTTCAAGGATTTTTTTCAAAATACATCAATATTAGACTTAATCTAGAAAAAATGATCAATTACAAAGTACTTATATCTTCTAACAGGTTTTGATATCAATATTTTTAGGAAAATCGCCGAGATGCAGAGCTGGATGGAAGGAATTCAAGGATCATTGTTATTTCTTTTCTACTGACAAAAAACCCTGGCAAGAGGCAGAGGTTCGTGTTAAAAGACGTCTTATTTTGAACATGATAAATAAAACATATAGTTAGAACGGCTATAAAAATATTTCAATAAAACTTTGAAGGTCGTGCAGTGACCTGAAAATGTACACATGTCTGGTGGATAGTTGTCTCATTGGCAATACTATCACATTTATTCATTTCTATAATGATGAGTTTGACAGAAGACGTCTTTTTATTTCCGTTACCAGTCATTCGTTTTATTCAAAATTCCAAACGGGATATACGTAATACCATCTACAAACAGTTTCTCTGATTAATTTACACTTCTCATGAGTGGAAAATGGTACCACATTTTTTTTCACGGTAGAATCATCAAACTTGGCAATAAAATACCTCTGGTGATAGGTAAAACAATACAAACATTTTGTTAATATAGCTCGCCTGGTTCGAGTGAAAACAGTGCAAAAATCCTGTAGGATATTATTTCTCCCATATGCTTTTTGATTTGTCCCCTAGGATCTCTTTCTCCATTTGGATTTCTTAAATCTCCCATCGGATTTTTTTTTATCTCTTAGGATTTATCTTATTCATTATGATTTTTTTATCCCACAGAATTTTTTTTTGTAAATCCCTTAGGCTTTGATTATTCCTATCGGAAATATTTTATCCTACAGAAAAAAATATCCTGTAGGAAATACCTTTTTTCTCTTTAAGTTTTTTTTTTGTCCAAAGGGAAAACATATTTCCTGTAGGATATTTTTATTCTCCTAAAAGATTATAAATCCCATTGGATTTTAATATCCTGTGAGATATTAAAAATATTCTACGCGATTATGCCTTTATCCTATAGGATTTTAAAAAATCGTATGGGAGAAAATAATATCCTACAGGACTTTTGCACTGTTTTCACTCGTATTGCAGAGCCAGGCGAGCTGTATAAAAAATGTATTGTTTTGCGTATCCCCAGTGGTATATCATTGCCAAGTTTGATGATACTACCTTTTAAAAAATGCGGTACTAGTTTGCACTCATGAGAAGTGCGAATTAATTCGAGAAACTGTTTACAGTTTAATTTTCAATGAAAAATGTTAACTTTCAAACTTAGAGGTATCATATTTATTTTCGAATGGTAAGAGAAAGATCGGTTGTGTTCAACACATCGACTTCGGAAGAGTACTACCATTTCTTACGATTATGCAGATATAACATTTATATAGTCCTTTGAAGTAACACTCAGTATTAAAATATAAACATTCTTTGAATGGCATTGCAGTAAAAAAAAATGTTTACAGATAACTATTGCAATTCATTTTTCAACAAAATTCTTTGTGTTTTTAGAGAGAGTGTCGAAATCGAGGAGGGTATCTTACACAAGTTACTGATTCTGCAGAAAATTCCTGGATTGTTTCTATGATTACGAGTAAAAGTAAGTTTAATCCACTGTTTACTTTTAAAGAAACTGATTTTACCGGTTATAATTATTGATTATTGAATGGGTTGTTAAGTATAATAGATGAATCGTCACCTGGACTTCTCTCATCCGGCAGTAAAACTAAATGCTAAAGAGGGGAGTGTTTGTCACTTGACTTTAAGCAAACAACAACCAAATCAATCGTTCAACTCATTGTCAACGGACACCTCATATATCTCTGATATTTAATAACTGAAAAAAAATATTCGTTGTTTGATATGTGGGACATTTTTTTAATATCGAATTTTCGGTACACTAATTAATTTGCTTTTTTTAATGAAAATGCAATTTAAGTTTGTAGGATTTATGAGTCGAATTCAATAATAAAGATTTGATTAACATATATTTTGATGCAATTTATTACAAAAATATTTATTATATTCAAATTCCGTACTTAGGGTAATGTATGTGCTTACGATTTATTAAATTTTTGAATTTCAAAATTAGGCATTTTTTTTAAACGACTCATATGCTTTCAAGAATTTACACTGTTAATTAACTTGTGTTGTATAATGTTTGTGGAAATAAAACAAGACTTAGTACAAAAGTTGAATTGTTATTGCACAATTGTCATATAATTTTGTCATTTATCTTATAATGCCTGGAACTTGTTTTTATTTATACAGAAGTGATTCAGCAGCATTATTGGATGGGTGCTACAGATTTTAAGGAGGGTGATTGGAGATGGGTCAATGATTTGTCTAAAGTACATTTTACCAGTTGGAATTCGGGTCAACCTGATAATTATCGCGGCAAAGAGGACTGTGGTCATTTCTGGCATGGAAACAACTATAAATGGAATGACGCTGCATGCAACCAAGCATTTGGGTATATTTGTGAGAGTCCTCAGGTATTTATTATTAATTACTTGATCTTACATATCTCTGTGTAATATTTGAATTAATACCATTTATTTTATCAAGAGCATTGCACTAAAATGATACATCAACAGCAAATCTCTATACATATTAATTATCTCTATATGCTTTAACTGATCAACGATGGTCATCGATAAATCGTTCAATTTGAATCGATGTATGGTCCAACGTATACTTGTCAAGTACAAAAAAGTAATGTGTGAATGTTATTACGTTAAACCACGGTTTTAAAGTTGCAAAATGAGTGTTGTAGATATGAGAATATATACATAATCGCTCTCGCGTGTTTTTCTTGTCATTTCCTATATGAAATGTATTAACTATTTTCTTTTAACAAAACTAATCTATTTTCATTATATTGTAGGGTTCTAATTGTCTTTCGTACTCAAGACTATTAAAGAGTGCTGTTAATGGAAAGTAGCAACATGTAATCTGTCGTGAAAAAGTAAAAAAGAAATAAAGTTTGATTCATATTTGATTTCTTTGAATTTATCTATTGCTATTTATGAATGTAAATTCATTTAAAGATTAAGTATATGATGTGTGATGTGGGTAAGGTTTCCGTAGAAAAGTTTAGTTATCCCTCTAGCTATTTGCGATCAACATGGATTTTGTGATTTAGGTTTCGGTTTGAAGTTGTCAGTTTCCTCTTTATTTTGTATTTTGTCCAATTAAAACTTGTTTTCGTTTTTATACGGATGTTATGCATACTATCGTCATTTTGTATCCCGATATCCTGGTGTGCTGCTGAAATATATTTAATAGCAGGGTCTGTCCAATTTTCCAATCTTACCTTTCTATACTAATTTTGTTACGTTTTTGTCTGTTCTGACAATTTTCATCGTCAGATTTACCGACATTCTTTATTTTATTACAATGATTTTTCAGGTTTTATTTTTAATCTGTGTTTTGATTCCTCTTTTTGTTTCATTATTCAATAACTGAGAAAACAGTTTGAGGTTGGGTGCTCATACCGATACCTTCAGGTTGACAGGTGTGGAATCCAAAGTAAAACACATGAAATGCTTCGTGCCAATCTGACGAGTCAGGTCCTTGCAATTTGATGTTTACAGTTTGTTCTTGTGATGTGCTGTTACACCACTCTCCCAGGTTAAGGGAAAGTTGTGTGGTCACAAACATGTTCAATCCCGCAACATTATGTATGTGCCAGTCTTAAATCATGAAACTTTAATTCAGTATATGTCGTAAGTTGCTGTCTGTAGTCAAATTTGATCTTGTTCATTGTTTTGTCATAAATAAGGTTGTTGGTTTTCTCGTTTGAATAGTTTTACACTTTGTCATGTCGCGACTTTTTATAGCGGACTATATTACAGTATGTGTTTAGTTCATTGTTTAAGGCCGTGCAGTGACCTATAGCCGCTTACATCAACGCCAATAGAACTCTACTCTGGTGGATAGTTGTGTCATTAACAAACTTATCATATCTTCTTAATTTTGCTTTAAGAGGGGCGTCTATTTTACTGTCTAGGATGTATTGACAGGAGCCTTTTTATAGCTTACTATGCGGTATGTGTTTTGCTCATTGTTGAAGACCGTATGGTTACTTTTAGTTGCTTACATCTTCGTCATTTGGTCTCTGAAGATAGTTGTCTTATTGGCAATCATGCCACATCTTCTTATTTTATATTCATGCAGGGGCTTCATAGGCAGTATGAGAAGAAACTAGTATTATCCTATAATTGTTTTTAAATATGAATGACGTCTTTGGAAGATCCATTGTATAAAGTTTGGTGACTTTGCTGATATCATCTATATTCCGTACATTTGAAATTAGATAAACAAAATACAGAGCTTTATTAGTGTTATACACGATAATTACTCTACTATTTATCATGATGAATGGGATGCCACCTGCTCACTACAGTAACCCCTACGATGTTTTATGTTTACATAAGCCCTTCATTTTATGGCTAATCTTCTTTCTAGAATTGTCAAACTATATAGAATAGAAGAAGGTGTTGTTTTGGTACAAACACCAGGTAATTAGATAAGCATTCATAAAATTATCAAAGGTTGTTTGAAACAACAGTAAGTTTTACATTATAGCAGAATATTCCTAGAATTATAAAAATATGTCTTCATATCTAAAAGTCTGTCATTCAGTTTATCGTAAAGTATGAACTGTTACGATTTTAAACATTGTTTTTGCAGTTATGATTACTTGTTTCGGATAATTTCAGTCAGGTGAAGGTACATACCATGTATATATCATGTTTTCATTTTGGATTGCTGCGATATATAGTTTCATTTATTAACAAAAGGATATGTCCGCTTAACACAAAACCGAACTGACACAAAACAAAACATAAAGATTCATAGATCAACAAAAAGTCTTTAAGAATTTCATCAGAGACTAGCAAAGATCTGCAGCAACGCCAAACATAGTTTTTTATTAGTTGTTATGGCTTTGAACTTGCTGCCATTAACTGCAAGTACTCTCAGATCTGTACGTAGTGTCTTTGGTGTTGTTTGGATGTACAAATACCCGTCCACGTCCACTCTGTGTTTTTGTTAGATGTATTTCTATTTGTATCGATCTGATGATCTGAAGCCTTTTTCAACTGATTTTCATAGTTTGTTCTTATGTTGTACTGTTACACCACTGTCCCAGGTAAGGGGAGGGTTGGCGCCTTCAAACTAGTTTAACCCCGTCACTTTCTGTATGTGCCCGTCCAAAGTCAGAAGCCTGTAATTCAGTGATTGTCGTTTGTTTGTTCCTGTGTTACATATTTGTTTTTCGTTCATTATTTTGTACATAAATTAGGCCGTTAGTTTTCTCGTTTGAATTGTTTTACATTTGTCATTTCGGGGCCTTTTATAGCTGACTATGCGGTATGGGCTTTACTCATTGTTGAAGGCCGTATGGTGACCTATAGTTGATAATTTCTGTGTCATTTGGTCTCTTGCGGAGTTGTCTCATTGGCAATCATACCACATCTTCTTTTTTATATAGAATGCAAAAACATTAAGATACATTGTAACTAAAAATTATCGTGACCATGTTTCTCTGCGGCATTGACACCACTCGATTATTGCAACCAAGTACTACCGCAAAATTTTCGTATGCTCAACACTTGGTTGAAATTTGGAAGATTCCCATGTGTGATGAAGAGGTTTTATATTGATACAGCCGATTAAATTGTGAAAGGAAGGACTTAACCCTCTTTTTAAATCTCGATCAGTGTAGTAAACCGTAAAGATGTTCACAAAAGAACAGACAATAAACATCCTTTCAGAAATATCACTAAACTACAATTGTATACAATACCGATATAATAGACATTTACAAATGATAAATTCTCAAAATATATTGTATCATAATAATAATGTTCACACATATAAAAACCTAGATGAAATAGAAGGATCAACTGAATAATTGTTGTTTGCTTAACGTCCAGTGGCAAATATTTCATGCATATCCAGGACAAATAAAACTAAAAAGGAGACAAAGGACATATGTCAATGATACAGTAACCATTGGAAACAGATTACCAAAATATATCTAGTGGGTAACATACATGTAGGTATAGTTATAGGTCTTGGGAAGTGTGTTACAAAATGTAAGTGTACAAAAAAACTGTCATTTATTATCTCAATAACTGAAAAAGAAATATATTTAGGATCACGAATTATCTGAGAAATTTCAAAATTGAAACGTGTCGCAGTATATATGTTACAGTGAATTTGTATAGTCCGGAATTGTGTGATTTTTCAGGGATTTTGCATAATCACTAAAGTCATCAGTGATTATATATAATCCCTGAAAATGACCAGTGATATTACATAATCACTGAACATTCAAAAAAATATTTTACAAATTCCGTGACACGATTTCATGTATTATTAATAACACAAAGATCTTTGTTTGATAAAAAAATAAATCAAATATAGACAAATAAAATCATGTGTATTTCTTATCCTTTTAAGGTTTAAGTTGACAGTTTTCATTCCCTGTCCATTTATCAAATCCAAAGTGAACAGTTTTTCCAGTGATATGCTATTTAACTGCGTTGAACCACATTAAATCATTAATAAAAAAAAGTATTTAAAATTGAAAAGTAAATACTGACATTTTCAATTATAGTGATAACTGCACATGTTTGCAATGAATTTTATTTTCCCCTAAACAGCGTCATTTTGGCGTTAGAAAACATGTTTAACCCCGCCATATTCTTTATATGCCTGTCCCAAGTAAGGAGCCTGTAGTTCAGTGGTTGTCGTTGGTACAGGTCTGTAACATTTATTCTCTGTAAATTGTTTCGTTATAAATAAGGCTGTTAGTGTTCTAAATTGAATTGTTTCCCATTTTTCATGTCGGGGCCTTTTATAGCCGACTATACGGTATGGGGTTTTCTCATTGTTGAAGGCCGCACGGTTGCCTATAATTGCTTACATCCACGTCATTTGAAATTTGATGATATTCATACCACATATCAAATGGACGTTCATGTTCTGCATGTAAATGCACAGTGCATGTAAACAAATACATTTGCTGTAAAAAAAATATGGCATTTGAAGGTTATTGAATAATTGTTTGATGGTTTCTATGTTCCAATGAACAAGGAATTAAAACAAATGCAAATAAGAAAAACAAACAGAACACATGCTTGACAGATTGAACACAATTTTGGATGAGACAAACATTGGCTGTAATATTTTGATACGGATTCTGTATGTTGATCGCAAAAAGTGAGACCCCAAAAATATTATAATGTCCATGAACGGACTAGAACGGATACTGCCTGGCTACGAAACAGAATAACATTCGATAACATCAGATTCAATTTGTGAAGGACAATGTGGATGTTCTTGCAAAAAATATATAAAAGCAGAGCATGATAACGGTTATGTCTACTTCTTTAATTAACAGTAACACATCTCAATGGTTGATTCTTTTCGACCAAGGAGAAGTGTCTAAAACATGGAAACTATGTTTTTTTTGTTCAGAAATTTCAATGTTGTTCCTGGTGCAGTTAAACAAAAAGGACAGTATATCTGGTAAAGTATTTTTCAAAGTCTAAATCGCTCAGATGAATATGAAGGTTAAAATGACCTTATAATTAGTGAACCCTTTTGTAGCACCCAAGTTTTCTTTAATTAAGATTTTTATTGGCTATAAAAAACTTAACTACTAAGCTAGATCAATCGAAAAATGAAGGCTAAAATGAACAAATTATTAATGAATCCTTTTATACTAAAATTTTCCCATTTTCTCTCAACTGGCCAATTTAAGTTGCTTTACCATCTCTTGTGTCTTAGATATGACTCAAAACACAAACATAATCCAAGATCGGAGTAAAGGGACGAATGGACGGACAAACGGAAGGACTAATGGATGGACATGCGAACAGACACACATATACACAGACAGATAGACTAAGGTTAATTCAAATGCCCCATCCATTTTCATAGTCGGGCTTTGAAATCCTACAAAGCCATTGTGACAATAGACATCAT